GCGGCGCGGGGCTGCGGACGGGGCGCGCGGGGGCCCGGGCTGGGCGCGGAGACGAGCGCGGGCTTCCAAAATGGAACTCTGCTGGCTCCCCCACCCACTCCCCACTGCCCAGCGGCGCCCGGCTCGGGCTGCGTGGGAAAGGGGGGACAGCCAGCGCGCCAGACACACAGACAGAGCCCCCACTCCGAGAACGGTGGCCAAATTTTTAAAAAGAAAAAAAAAAGAGAAAGAAAACATAAAAAAAAGAAAGAAAAAAGGGGAAAAATGCCTCGATCAGTGGAGAATCTACGCCAAAACCCACATGATCTGTAACGTCAGCATGCGTATTTGCATACGATACCACCACCCGAGCTGGCACCGCGGCCGGCTCCGGCTCCGGCTCCGCACAAAGTTACAAAGTGAGGCTCGGCCCCTCCGGGCAGGGAGATGTCAGTTCGGGCCGGGCAGGCGGGGGAGGCTGGCCCGCTAGGCTCGGTTCCCGGCGGGAGGAGGGGGCCGCAAATTAACTTTAAAGTCTGAGCCCAGTAACGGACTCGGTGGAATTTCTGCGAGAAGCGGAGGGGGAGGCGCGAGCGAGATCATTGAATATTAAGCGCGACCCTGCGCGGCCAAGCCCTCGCGGTGCAAGACCCATTTTCTTTATGAAAAGTTCAAGGTGTCACGGATGAACGACAAACTGTTGATCCTACCCACGCGGAGCGGCGGGCCGTGGGGGCGCGCTGGTCGGATCGGCGCCCGAGCCCGGGGACCTTGCGCCCCTCGCCCCTCGCGCGAGTGGGGAGAGCGCGGGTGGGGCCGCTTCGAGCCAGGGCGCCCGCCTGCGGGCTCTGGGAGGTGGTGAGCAATTTTTAAAAGATTTAAAGCGTGACATGTTTTGCTGCTGGAATAGTAACGAGAGGGCTTGGGGAGGGCAGGGAAAGGCAGGGAAGGAGGAGCCCCACTTATGTAAGTACATGGAGTCAAATCGTTTTTTGGGGGGGATTCCGGGATTTCCGCTCACATCCGGTCTGTGGCCGGTTAAAGATCTCCAAACTTTTTCCTTAAGAGCCAATAAACATGCCCCGGAAGCCAGCTCCCGCTCGCTGGTCCGCAAGCTCGGGGGTTCTGGGCTCGGAGCCCCGTGCGCGCTGGCGGAACCGGGCCAGGCCCGCACCTCTCTCGAAAGTCTCAGACTAGGGAGTGGGGAACTCGCGTCTCGGCCAGCTGCTCCTTCCACCGTGCTTGACCTGGGGCTCCCAAGCGTCGGGACCCCGCAGCAAGCTGTCTGCGCCGCTCCCTCCTGCCTCGATGGGCCCCGCTGTCTCCCACGGCCGCGGGCGCCTCGCAGTCCCGGGGTGGGCCGCGCACGCGCTTGGGAGGGCTGCCGTCCAGGGTCCAGTGTGGACGCTGAGCTCCGCGAGAAAACAAAGGGAGCCCGCCTCGTCCTCCCGCCCGGCCTGCGGCTGCGGGCCTCTGCTCCGCCGCGCTGCTACGGCTGAGAACGAACTCTAGCGGCGCGGCCCGGGCGTGCGCACAGCAACAGGTGGCGGCGGCGCGGGCGCGGGGCGGACAGCACCAGCGGGCGGCTGGTCCTGGGGCCCACTGCGGCTAGCACCCGAGCGCCTGACGTTTCTGGGGAGGAACAGGTGGTTAAAAGGGTTTCCATGTCTGCTGTAGTGCTCTTGTTTCTGTGACGTAAACTTTTACCCCTGCCTCATTTTTTAAACAGTTGTAGTAGGTGCAGTGCTCAGGTTTCCTACAGCTAGGCACCTGTTTGTCGGGCTGTTACTGATGCAGGCCTGTCTGCCTTTTAACAGTGCAGTAAATAAGCTCTTGGCCTGGGAGGGGTCTCCAGCGTGAAGCCTGGAGACCAGAACAGCAAGCCCAGCACCCTGTTAGATCATCTTGATGACCGAAGCCCACCCTTGAGGGCCCGGCTTCCTCAGACGCATGTGCTCCGCACTGCACCTGAGAGTCTCATCCACTGGTCACGAACGTCAGAATTTACGGATGCTGTCCCCCCCTCCCCAAGGGTGTGCCAGAACACCAAAAGGAAAAGAAACAAAACAAAATTTTAGCAGCTCAACATTTTTACAGCACGTACCTTCCAGCTCCCACCCCAGCCATGGATGGGTACCCCACTTTCCAGCCTGTTTACGTGGAAATTGCGCAGGCCTTGAGGAACCCAGTCCTATTTCGAGGCTGCATTTCCTCTTAATGATCATTTATTTAGGAAGGTTTTTTCTTTCTGTCCTTTCTGTTGTTGTTGTACCGGGAATTGAACCCATGGAACTCTACTCCTGAGCTACAACTCCAGCCCTTTTTATTTTTTATTTTGAGAGAGGGTGTTGCCTAGATTGGGCATGAATGTAAGATCCTCCTGCCTCAGCCTCCTGAATAACTGTGATGAAAGTTATGTGCCACCTATACACCAAACTTGCCTTGCCTCCAGTCATTACCACCTGCTTCTGGATGGGTGATGGGGGAGGGAGAGAGAGAGACAGAGACAGAGAGACAGACAGACAGACAGATGAGAGGCTGGTTGAGGGATGCCTGGTGGCCCTCTGGCAGGGTCTAGTGAATTCGTATGTGTTCAGGGCCCTTGGGTATCATAGACAGTGACTGACAGTGTGGCTTCCGATGTGCTGCTGTGTCTTTTGTTCCAAGTTTAATATGGACTGAACTTTCACCAAATTTTAAAAAATGAAGCAAGAGTGACTTGCATTAAGTGCTATGATCCTGTCTTGTTAATAGATGGATGGACTGGGAAGGTCCTTCTCTGATAGGACATGGGGCCTTTGGAATCTCATTCTAAGAGTGATGTGCATTCAGTGTTTTGTGAGTGCTACTTGCTACTTAATGTTTGTGACAACCCCATCAGGTGGCCATTCTTGACATGTTTTGTCTGAGGTTCCCTTTAGGCATATATTTGATTGAGGACCCCAGGTAGTCTTTATTTATGTGGGTTTTACAAAAATATTGACATTTAACATGTCAGAGATTAAATTTTTAAAATGAAACTTTGCAAGCAAACTTTCCATCAGGCATGGAACAGTGTCATCAGAGGTCATGTGCCCTTTGGAAAATCACTGCACAGCTACAAGAGAACCAGTGAGAGAGAGTGACATTTTACCACTCTTATGAAAATGCTTTTGACGCTGAGGACCCTGTGCCAAGGTCTAGGAGGTCTGGAGGATCTCTGGAGCACATTTGGGAGCCACTGCTAAGAAGCATTGTATGACTCTCCCTGTTTTACAGATGAGGGGGCTTGGAGAAACTAGTAAGTTGCCCCAGGCAAATGGAGAAACTAGGATTTGACTAGAGTCGGAGTTCTTAGCCCACTGCGCTCTGACCCCCATCTCCTGGAGCACCCTCAGAGCTTCTCAAGACTCTTTCTGTAGTAGCAGACTGGCTTGAGCCTTCCCCGGAGATGGCACTGCACCAAGATTCCACATGCAGTATTTTCTCAAACTCTACCTTGCAAGTATTATTTCCCCAGTTTTATAGATGGTGAGACTGAAGTTCAGCAAGGTTAATAAACTTCTCCAAAGTCCACAGCCTAGTTCAGCCAATAGTAAAACCTGGATTCCAGCCTTTGTTGGTGTCTTCAGAACCAACAAAGGACGAAAGATCATCATGGTTCCGCTGGATGCCTAGCTAAAGAAAGAGTATCTTCCACTTCATAATTTGGTGAGAACTAGCCTGCTTGGGAAGTTTTGAAAATCTGGAAATGGCAGGAGGAGAAGAGATAAAAGTCACGGCATTACCCTTGAGAAGCTCCCAGTCCAGTGAGAGCGCAGCCACACTGTGTCTGAGCCCACAGGGGCTGTGGAGGGGACAGCGGAGATTATAGTTTGTCCATAGGCTGCATTTATTTAATTTTCTCTATTCCAAAACTCTTAAAAGAAGCAGAAACTATCAGTGATCAGTTTACCAACTGTAGCATGGGTCAGCTACCACCAGCTACCTTGCTTATGATAGGGCAATACAGTGTGCCCTTCAAGGGGTCGCAAAGGGACACCACATGAGCGAGGTGCTTAGGTGCTGGTGCCCTCCACTCCCTGCAGCATGGTGCAGTGTTCTCCTGTGTTTTGGAATGAGAGCCCACGGCACTGGTAGGACTGGAGCTGGGACTTGTGCCTTCAGGTTGATAGCAAGAGCTTGATTTAGCAGCAGTTTGAACTTGCCTAGAGTATAGAACTGAAAGTTTATGAAATGGGCAAAGGAAGAATTTATGATGATTTGATCCTCACACCAATCCTTAAGGCCAGCAGAGCTGGTACTGTCCTGTCCATTTTACAGAGGAAGGTGTTAAGCTGTTGTAGTAATTAGTTCAATTTCATAGGCTAAATCAGAACTACAATTTAAATCTCAGTCTTGCAAAGGTGCCAACAACATATCCCCCTTTTAAGCAAATGGTGGTGGAGGGGCTGGACATCCACAAGTAGAAGATTGGAACTAGATCCTTGTCTCTCACTCTGTACAAAAACCAACTCAAAATGAATCAAAGACCCTAACGTAGGACCCAAAATGTTGAAGCTATGGCAGAAAACATAGGGGAAACTTTTTTAGATACTGGCAGAGGCAGTGATTTCCTGGTTAGGACTCTGATAGCTCAGGAAACAAAAGTGAGAATTGCAAATAAATTGCATCAAATTAACACGCTTCTGCATGTCAAAAGAAACAATCAATAGAATGAAGAGACAACCTCGCAGAGGCCTTTGTCATCTATTCATCTGACAGAATATTAGTATCCAAAATATATAAAAATTCAGAAAACTTAACAAAAATAAGTCCAATCAAAAAATGAACAGATTATCTGAATAGACACTTCTCAAGAGTACAAGTAAATATATGAACAAAATGTTCAATACCTTCAGCCATCAGGGAAAGACAAACCAAAACTACATACAGATCCACCTCATTCTAGTTGGAATGGCTACTATAAAAACAAAAATAACAAATGCTGGCAAGGGGTTGGAGAAAAAGGACCCCTTCTGCACTGTTGGCAAGAATGTAAATTAGTACAGCCACTGTGGAGCACAGTATGGACAGTCCTCAGAAAACTATAAAGAGAAGTACTGTGTGATCTTGATGTCCCACTTCTGGATATATATCAGGAGGAAATGACATCAGCATTCAAAGGAGATACCCACATGCATATGTTTATTGTGGCATTACTCACAATACCCAAGATAGAGAGTCAGCTTAGGAGGCCGTCAAGAGATGAATAAGGAAAATGTGACAGACATGTGCAGTGGAACATTATGCAGCCACAAAGAAGAATGAAATCTGTCATTCTCAGGAAACTAGATGGACCTGGAGACTGTAATGCAAAGTGAAATAAACGTAGAGACACTGCATGTTTTCGGTTTTTCTTTGGTTTTTTCCTCTGGTACTGGGAACCGAACTCACGACCTTGCGCTTGCCAGGCAGGAGCTTTTTGCCGCTGAGCTAAATCCCCAGCCCCTACACTGCATGTTTTCTCTCACTATGTGGCAACTAAACAAAGAAGGAAAAAAGAACTATCTGAAAGGCAGTCTTGTGGGAGGAGGGGAGAGGATGGAAGGACAGAGGGTGAATAAGCATGTGCGTGCATGGGATGTCACCGTGGAACCTGCTGCTGTGAATGGTTAGTATGTGTTAATCATAATAATAATAAAAGGTTAAGAATCCAAATCATGTAACTTGAAGGTCAGTGTTATTTCTGTGCCTTTTCTTTATCATTTGCTCCAAAAGGATACTAAACAGATGCCCTCTGAGATGTTGCACTCTTGTTTGGCAGAACCTTGGAGTACAGCTGCTGCCTGGCAAGCTCTGGCTTTTAGTCACATACTCAGTCTATTTGTCTGCTCACTAGAGTGGGAGGCCCCTGTGGGCAGGAGCTCTGTCTAGTGGACTGTAGTATACCCCTGCTTCCACCTGCCTGGCATGTCCAGGGTGCATGACAAGTAATTGCTGAATGAATGAACAAATCCACAGATGCTCTTCCAATAGCAGGGAGCAGTGCTGTCTAAGAGAGCGCATATCTTCTGTGCTTCATGAGCGGCCTCAAAAAGCGCTGTGCTTCCTGCAGTCAGGGCTGCTGTTCTGGGATGCTTGGGCTTTGGGCTCAGAGCTTACAAGATTCCCAGCACCAGAAACATCAGCTCTGCATCTGCTCCCCTAACCAGCTCGTCGTACAGGTGTGAGGGCTGAAGGTCCTGGTGGTGGTACTGAGACTACAGCCCAGGTCCCCTGACATCTGTCTCAAGCTCATTCCCCTGAAGGTTTGCTTGGTAACACCCAAACCTCAGCTTACCATACAGAAACAGCGCCAGTCCTGCCCAGTGTGCCCCGGGGCAGGGAGAGATCACACCCTGAGGCCTGAGTGGAAAAGGCTGCGAGTTGCAGGCAAGGCTGATGCGCTGTCTCAAACATGTGGTGACCATGCCTGTAGTTCCCTGCAAAGATGTGGTGCCGTGTGTGAATGTGCCTCTGTTCTTACAGCCCATAATGTGCGGGTGTATCACTGAACTAGTCAGAGATTTGGTGGCTAAAACATGGGCTCTGCAGTTTCACTTCTAGCTCCAATGCACACCTCACTTCTCTGGACTCTAGACTTCTTAGCTATCATGCTAACGGGGGACAGTGATGATGTCTGTCTTGCAGGATGGTGAGATAATTCATGTAAACCATTGGGCTTTCCTACTTGACCCACCATGAGGGCTCAGAAAATGTTACTTACCTATTATTATTTCTTCTTATAGAAAAAGAAATACACAAGTCAGGTGTAGGGGTGTGCACCTATAATCTCAACCCTCTGGGAGCTGAGCAGGAGGATCACACATATGAGACCAGCCTGGGCAAACAGGTAACTTAGCAAGATGTTGTTTCAAAATAAAAACAGGAAGGGCTAAGGATGGAGCTCAGCGTGAAGGCCGTGGGTTCAATCCCCAGCACTACAAACAAGCAAACATACATGCATTCATTGCTGAAAATTTAGAAAATTCACATAAATAAAACATTTGTTGAAGGAATAATATTTATACATATGTAAAATATATAGTATAAGGCAAAACATATGGACAATACATATGTGAATCTTTAACGTACTTATACTACTTAAATTATATAAAATATATGTAATATATATACAAAAATAGTAGGTTAGGGGCTGGGGATTTAGCTCAGCAGCAAAAAGCGCCTGCCTGGCAAGCACAAGGTCATGAGTTCGGTTCCTGGTACCGGAGAAAAAACAAAAACAAAACAAAACAAAACAAAAAAATAGTAGGTTAATGATAGAAATCCCTCAATGTAACCATCCAGGAGAAACACTGTGAACATTTTCCATATACTGTGCTTACATTCAGTGCTTATTTTAGTCTACATTGTTTCACACATCGTTCTAGGGACTGAGGATACAGAGTGCATATAAGTTGATACCTTACACTGTTGTCCTCCCTTATCTGTGGGTGATACATTCCAGGACCCCCTAGGGATGCCTGCAGCTGCAGACACTATCAAATCTGAGAAATACTATGTTTTTCCTCCCAGTAACTATTTAGGTGGTGATAGGTTGCATGAAGATGAAAAACGCTTGACAAGTAGGAAGAAATGATTTCTTGAAATAACGTGTGAGTAAGTAATGCAGGGAGCTTGGTGGAACTGCAAAAATACCGTAAGTGACCCTAGGTTTAGTGAATCATCCATAGTAGATGTGTCTCCTGTATGATGACTATTTTCTTGTCATTAAGACTATATACAACTTTTCAGAGACTCTAATACTGTTGTTTACTGGAAGGGTGACAAGAGCATTGTACCAGTCACGGTGGGCTGGTTTAGGCTGCAGTAACCCTTAGACTTAGCGACTTCAGACCACAGTTGTTTACTCTTTGCCCTAGGTGATATCCATGAAGCATCCACAGAGAAACCCAGATCATCACAGTCACTCAGGACTTGAGTTGACCAGGCAATCACCAAAGTTACAAAACTTTGCCAACTGTTGTGCAAGAGGGAAAAGATCTACAGACACTTAAATGTGACCTGTGTCACTTCCTCTTGCAACTCATTGGTCAGAATTAATACTGAACTTACCCACAGATCCGTGGGAGTGTTATGTGCCTGGAAATTGGGAGAACTGAGAATATTTGCACTAATGTGATAGTGCTAACGGCTAATATATGATGTTATTTAGCCATTTACAGTTACTCATTCTTCACTATGTGCTGATTCTTTTGCATGCATTACATCATCACAAAAATCCATATTTCATCTCCATTTTACAGATAGGGAAACTGACACTTTAGGAACTTACATACCTTGCTCAGTATGACCCTACTGTTGAGCAATGCCATTGGGTTTAAACCTGGTTCTCTCTGGTTCCAGGGACTGGACTCTTAGACACTGTTGTAAACTACCTTGGATTTAATTGGCCCCCTACCATTGGGTTCTAGATGATTTTATTTTATTTTTTCTTGTAGAAAACCTGTGTCAAATTTTTTGGAATCATCTGTGATTACTTTCTTAGGATAAATTCCTAGATCAGTACAGGTGTGAAAGCTAAAGGTCCTAGTGGTGTTGGTATTTGTTTAGTTGAAATACATATAATTCAAGAGGAAAAACTCTTTGAAAAAGTGAAAGCCTTGGGAAGTGTCATGGATGGTCTCTCAGGATACCTTCTGCCAGTTCCTTCCGTGCAGGCTTGAACAACGCTTCACCCCAAAAGGCGCAATTGATCTCCCTTCCCCTCAAGTCTGGGAAGTTCTGTGGTTACTTTGGATGTGTGGAAGTGACATTCTGAGACATGTGAGCCTGAGTACCTCTTCAGGGATTGGCAGTTTCTGCCTTCTTCCTCCAGGAATCTGCTGCCATGCGATGAGAAGCCTTGACTTCAGAAGAGGTGACATAAAGAAAGCCGAGATGCAAGAGGCAGGAGCTCAGGTGAGTTCATGGTGACAGCCAGTTGGACATGAGCCCTGGGAGTGACTTTAGGAGGCTCCATCCTGCTTGATCCTCATCGCTACAGCGCCAGTAATAGTCACATCAAGCACAGGCCTGCCTTGCTGAACCTCCTCAACAGCGTTATATGATGGTGATAAGCAGAACCTGGTTAGCACTACGGAAATTTAGGGTGATGTAATACACAGCACTAGATATAGCAAATGTATTCCATATTTGTGAAAGCAGGATGTATTATCCATGTGTCTATCTGAATATTCCAAATCTACTTCTGGCTGATCTCTCTAGGAAGAATTGTTCTGATATCATCCATAGGGAGAAGGGGGACTCTTGATCCGTAATGCCCAGTCTGGTCCCTCTTCTGAGTCACATGCTTTGGGGGTACCAGCTGTTTGTTACAGAACAGCTGGATTTAGCCTCAGGACTGACACACTGGTCCAAGCTTCTAAGCAGATAAATACTTGTAGGTACTATCCATCAAGCACAGAGGCTCAGTAGGTGCTGGAGTTAACTTCCTATTTGGTGTTGGCAAAAGCAGCTTTGCATTCTTTAAAGTTAAACTTTGTTGGGGGAGCTCCAACTGCCTACTGTGTGCAGAGCTACCTGGAAAGTGCTTCCTATGCTTTGTTTCATTTGATCGTCACAGCAACCATCCGAGTAGGCTCACTGTCTCCCTTATTTGGGGAAGGAAACTGAGGCACATAAAAGATTAAGACTTATCCATGGCTCATGTAGCTAATAACTTATAGTGGACCTGAGCTGGTTTTACTGACTTCAGATCCTGCCTGTTTCCCATTCCCTGTGTCTTTCAAATTAATTCATGTGCATACCACTTTCATAATTTTTGCCCCACCAGCATATCTTTTACCTGTAGTGTTATTTATATTAATTCACATTTAAAAATTAAATGCTATATTAATAATGAAAAAGAAGCTTTCTAAATTTTTAACATTCTAAGCTTTCTAACTTTCTACAATGGGAATAAGATAATTCAACAGTGATTATAACAAATGAAAGGTAACAGTAAAATATATGAGGATTGTGCTAATTCTGCTTACTCTGTAGTCACATGGCCTCCTCTGTGTGCAGGGAGAGAGTACAAAACAGTGCTCTGCACTTATGCGGGCACAAATCCCATCTTGAGAGCTCACCCTCACAACCTCATCCAATCCTAATTTCTTCCCAAAGACTTTGTTAGTTAGCTTTGGGTCTCTGTGAAAACAAATACCTGAAATAAGCAGCTTGAGGAAGGAAAGGCTTATTTTGGCTCACGGTCTTGAGGTTTCAGTCCATGGCCGCTTGGCCCTGTGGTGATGGCACTGGTGAGGCCACTGCAGGGAGCATGTTGTGAAGCAAAGTCTTGCTGATGGACAAGAGGCAGAGCAAGGGAGACCACAGGGCTGGCGTCCTGCACCTTCTGTAAGGGCACACCCTCCAGCGGCCTCCTCCTCCAACTAGGGTCCATTGCTAAGATCTCCATCTCCCCTGACAGGGCCACAGCTGATCACCAAGCCTTTTTTAGCACATGGCCTCTGGGTGACATTTAAGTTCCAATGTACAAGAAATCCCACCTGCAATTACCATCATATGGGGGGGCATTCAGTCTGCAATAACACTCCACACCTGATACCCCAAATTTCGCATTCTTCTCAAATGCAGATTTCTACTGCAACAGTCCCAATGATCTTAACTCAGTCCTGTATCAACTCTAAAATCTCATTGATACCTAAATTTGCATGTGGGTAACACTAAGGATGTTACTCATCCTGAGCAAAAATTGCTTTCGTTGTGAACCTCTGAAATGCGGCAAGTTATGAGTCCAAAACACAATGGTGGCATAGGCATGGGACAGACGTCCTCATTACAGAAGACAGCAATCAGAAGGAAGAAAGGGGTGATGGATTCCCAAGCAAGACCAAGAACAGCCCAGCAAATTCCATGAGCCCCTCAGGCTTGAGAGCAACTGTCTTTGTTTCTGTACTCTGCCCTCCAGGCCCACCGAGGCAGCGACATCAACCTGCAGCTCTCAGAAGCACCCTGACACCTGGGCTGTGTCAGGTGGTCCTGCTGTCCCGGTCCAGGGGCAGGTCGAGCCATCTGGCTGTTGAAGCCATGGCAATAACCCTGACGATCCCTAAATCACCCTTGGGGTAAGTTTTCTTCCTCCTTGGCACATAGCACACACTCACTGCTGAGCGTCTACCCATCCTGTCCAATCCGAGCAGTCTAACAGCTTTTGCTCATTTGGTCCTGTCTGTTTCCCCTCATGTCCAACTAACAGTGTTTCTGTTTGTGTAACCCAAGTACTCTTTATTCAGTGATAGTCCAGCCACACTTTGGGTATTTTCAGAACATGCACCATTTTTTTACAGTATGGATAGACTGAGGGTTTTCCAACTCTTCAAGTTCTGTGCCTTTTTGCTTATCAACCCCTTCTTTCATCCATCTCTTTCCTTTTGCCTTACATGGTGAGGAGCGAGAGGAACCAAGCTGCCCCCTCTGTAGTTTGCTTTGGAATCTCCTTGGCCAGATATTTAATTTCATTGCTTAAAAGTTCTGCCTCCCACAAAGCACTAGAACCCAGTTCCTCCAAGTTCTGTGCCACTGTATGACAAGGATCATCTTTTCTCCAGTCTCCAGTAATGTACTGCTTCATCTCTCCACCTGAGCCTTCATCAAATGATCTTTACCATCACATCTCTAACAACCTTCTATTCATTGTTATTTGTCTATTCTCTAAGAAGATGGGCACTTTCTCTCCAGATTTCCATTTTTCTTTCTGAACATGCAGCGGAATTGCTTTTTACACCTACATTTCTAGCGTGCACCCCAAGAACTCTTCAGCCTGTACTCACTATCCAGCTCCAGAATTGCTCTTCTATATCTCACATTTGTTATAGCAGTAGCTCTTACTGAGATCATTCAGCTCTGTATCATTCAGCTCAGGCTGCCATAGCAGAATACAGTAGACTGGGTGGCGTAAACAACAGAAACTTATTTTCTGAAGGCTCTGGTGGCTGGGAAGCCTGAGATGAAGGTGCTGGCAAGGTAGGTTTTATTCTGAGGTGGCTGTAATCTTGTGTGATCCAATGAATCTTTGCATGTACATTGAGGGAGAGAGGGTGAGCCACCTATTGCTTCCTCTTATAAGGACATTAATCGCATCATGTAGGCTCTGCTCTTGTGAGTTCATCTAACCCTAATTACCTCCAAAATTCTACATTTCCAAATAGCAACAGAATGGGGTAAGGACTTCAGCGCTTGAATTTGGGGACTCTTCCTTCCCCTTGGCTGCTATCAGTAATAAGGGTCATGTTTTGTGTTCCATGTGTACTCTATTTGCCAACTTGTTCTAACGTTGGTGGGGAAAAGTAAATACTATTTATCCTGGAGGTGGGAAGCGTCCCTTAGGGATCCTGATGGAAGCTGTTGTGAGATTAGTGCCTGTGGCAGGATACCCCTTCTGGAAAGGTTTCCTATAGTCTGGCTTCCATTCATTTCCTCCTACTCCTTTACACTCTTGTGCACCCTGTCCATGTAGGGATGAGAATTCAGGGGAGGAATGAGGCAGAAAATGCATTCTTGAACAAATTCTTGGCTTTTCAGTTCTAAAAATATTATGGGAGCAGAAAAGAACTTCGGTCATGAATGATGCATTTTAGAGAGAACACATGAAAAAGATAAAGTCATCTCTTCTCAGGGATGGATGTTTTTGCCTTGGGGGAAGAAGACCGAGCTCCTCAGACTCCTGGCCCATGGGCGAATACAAAGGGAGTGGAAATATTCACCATCAATCTGTGAGGTCAAAGCTCAGAGGGCCTGTGTGATAAGTGGCTAGAGGTCTGGGGCTGTGTAACAAAACATCAGAGAAAAAGTGGCTGTGTAGCGTTGAAAATAGGTTAAAAGCCCATCCTCATCCCACTGACTGCTCCCATCATCCCAGTGGTGATCTTGCCACCATCCATCGGGCTGTAGGATATATTTCCCCTCTCTTGAACCTGGATAGGTTTGTACAGGCTTTAACAAGAATGTGTGGCAGAAATGATTCTATATGATTTCTGAGGCACTGTTGGAAAAATCACTGTAGCTTCTACCTTAACAATATAATTGTTTTATACCCCTGTGTTTTGGGATGATTTGCTATGAAGCAATAGTAACCAGTGTGCTGTGATCCCAAGTGTCAAGAGTGGAACCTGTGTGTTTGTTACTTTATATGGTAAAAGGCACTTACAATATAAATTAACAGTTTTGGGATAAGGAAATTATCCTGGAATATTGGGATGAATTTTTGTGGGCACTCTTAATGAGAGGGAGGTAAAGGGTCAATGTATTGGTCAACTTTCTGTTACTGGTATAAATACCTGACACCCCCAATTTAAAGGAGGAATGTTTATTTTTGCTGATGGTTTCAGAGAGTTCAATCCGTGATTAGCAGGTCCAAGGCAGAAGCATACGGCAGAAGAAAGCTGCTCACTAGGAAGCAGAAAGCAGAGGAGTGGGTTGAGCTTTACTAATCTAGGCATCCCTCAAGCTGGGCAAGTTGACAATCAAGATTAGCTACCACAGTGAGAGTCAGGAGTGGAGACAGAGAGAGAGAGGGAAAAGTGATGGGGAAGCAAGAAGTTACAGTGGTACAGCCACAACCGAGGAAGGCAGGCAACCTCTAGTAACAGGAAATGTCAAGAAATTAGATCCTCCACCGGATTTCCACAAAAAAAGTAGCCAGGTGAATACCTTAGTTTTAACTCTCAAGACCCATCTTAGACTTGTAGCTCTAAAACTGTAAGATAATATTTTTGTGGTGTTTCAAGTCACTAAGTTTGTGGTGCTTGGTTACAGCACTCCTAGGAAACTGATGCAGATGGTACAGATGTACCCAGAGGCCTTGTGATTCCCTGTGAACCAGTGACTGAGCAGTGATGTAGGATGGACCCTTAGAAGAGTGCAGGTGGCCCAGTAACACCGAGGCTAAGAGGGTACTTGACCCCTTCTTTCCTTAACCCTCTGACCCACACTGATATCAGGCTCTGTGTAAATTTCCCAGAATTTGGGCCATCTCCTCAAGGAAAGGAGTGAAAGGTAGAAACTGAATTGTTTCTACCACTTTGGCTGAGCAGGAGCACAAAATACAAATGAAGCTGCAGTATAGAAATTAATGAAAGTTGTAAGTCTTGCCCATCTGCATTACAGATTTTGATGTATATCGGAAGGGCAGTGAGTGGAACGTGTTCTCCCCACCGCGGTGGTTTTGTCTTCATAGTGGTCACATGGCAATGCAGGCACTGAAGCTAGGGGTTTGTCTCTGGTCTTTTTTTTTTTTTTTTGGTTTTTCTCCGGTACCGGGAACCGAACTCATGACCTTGCGCTTGCCAGGCAGGCGCTTTGCCGCTGAGCTAAATCCCCAGTCCCCCATGTCTGTGGTCTTTTAAAAATTGTTTGCAGATAAGAAAATAAGAATATTAAATGTTGTTTAAAATTATAAGTTCTTTTGAAATAATTTGATTCATGAAAAGGTGCAAAAATAGTAGTACTGCGTGTTCTTCATCCAGTTTCCCCTGAGGATAGTGTCTTACACAGCCATGGTGGGTCTTTAAAAACAGGGAAGTTGAAGCCTTATTTGGATTTCATCAAGTTTTTATATGTACTTTTGTTTTTGTGTTTTTACTTCCATGAATTTTTTGAACTTTGATCACCATCGCTATAATTGTGTCTTTTAAAGAATCTTATATGAGTGGAATCATGCAATACTTGACCTTTTATGATTGGCTTTTTTTTGGTCTAGAATCATTCTCTAGGTTTCATCTTCATTGTTGTATGTATCAGTGGTATATTCCCTTTTATGCTTAAGTTGTTCTCTTTGATATGGATATATTACAGTTGTTTTAACCACTTAAATGTTTACAGACGTCTGGTTTACTTCCCCTTTGGGACTATTATGAATGAAGATAGAGTGAACATTTGTGTATATGTTTTTGTAGAACCTATGGCTTCATTTATCTGGAGTTCAAGCCCAGGAGTGTGCTGCTGGGTCAGATGTTAAGCGCTTGTTCATCTTTGTAAGAAGGTGCCAGTTTGTAGAATATGGCTGGGCCATTCTAGTTTTCCATCAGCATTATAGAATGATCCAGCTTCTCTGCTTTCTAATTGGTCTTGGGGCTGTAAGTATTTTTTATTTTGGCCTTTCTGATAAACGCACAGTAAAAACTTACCTGCTGTGGTTTTAATTTGCATGTCACTAATGTTTAATGATATTGAACATGTTTGATGCGCTTATTTGCTATCTGTGTCTCCCCTAAAGTGAAAAATCATATCTGCTGCCTATTTTCTAATTGTACTGTTTATTTTTATACTGTTGAGTTTTGAGAAATCTTTATATATTCCAAATACTAGTCCTTTGTTGGATAGGTGGTTTGCAAATATTTTCTCCTACTCTGTAGTTTGTTTTTTCATACTCTTGACATGATCTTTCACAGAGCAAAGGTTTTAATTTTGGTGAAGTATAATTTTTTTCTCTTTATAGGTCATATTTTTGGTGTCAAGTCTGAATTCATCATCTACCCTTGGTGTGAGGATTTTCTTTCATTTTTTATTCTGACAGTGTTACAGCTTTTAAGTTTTGTATTCATCTGTGATCTCCATGAGTCTTAGGTTGAATTTCTTATTTTATATGTGGATGTTCAATTGCTCTAGACATTTGGTGAAAATGTGATTAACTTCACTGACTTGCTTTTTCACCTTTGTAAAAATCAGCTGGAGATACAAGAGTGGGTCTGCTTCTGGATTCCTGGCTTTGTTCCCTTGTTTGTACCTCTGTACCTACATGAGCAGCACACAATTTGGATATCATATCTACATAATAAGTCTTGAAACCGAGAAGATGGTTTTCTCCCATTTCTACAAAGTTACCAGCTATTTTTATTTCTTCTAGCTTTATATATAAATTTTAAAATAATATGGTCTCTGTTTATAAAAATCCTTGCTGGGACTTTGGTAGAAACTGCATTAAACCTTTGTATCAAATTGGAAAGGACCAAATCTTCACTCTGTTAAAGCTTCCAACCCGTGAATACAGTATGCCTCTCCATTTATTTCCTTATATTTTATTTCTTTTATTAGCATTGTGTGATTTCCAGCATGCAAATCCTGTGCA